ATGTTGAGTTTAATGTCGTCATGGCAAAAATATTTTTTCTCTTCATGTGTGGCCCTAATACTCCGTCGTAGTTTAACTCTAATGGTTATCATTAGAAACAAATATGAAACTGAAGATCAGGATTTTAATTTAACTTTGTTACTAACAGATGAATGTTGGATCAAAGAAACATTAAAATTTAATGTTTGGGAGAAGAAAAATAAAAGGTTACTGTTTATACTGTTTTGATCACAGGTTTTTTGCCGTTTCTGGGCTGAACTTTCATGCTTTAGTTTACTAAATATCTTCAGAGGAAGTTCTGTAGGGGAACCCTACGCATCTTGGTGGTTCTTTATGTCAGGCTTGGTGATTCTAATATTTAATTTATTTTTCTTTTATTTGTTAAATGGTAAAAAAGAGAAAAATCAGCCAGAAATTAGGCTCAGTCAGGACCAGCTGAGGAACCTTCAGTCCATCCTGGTCATCAGAACCATTGACCACTCCTACCTTTACATGCATGTAGATCTTCTTCAGGTCTTTACGATGTCTTCCTTGGTCATTTTTAGTTGTTTTTCCTTTGATTGGATTGTCTTTATGTTTAAAAGCAAAAAAAAAACTCATGCTTTTTCATTGTAAAGATTTAATACGTCTCCAGAATCTGGTGGCCTTCAGATCCTTGGATGTCACCTTGTCACTGTGGAAAATCGCTGCTGTGAAAGTTGTCAAGTGGGTGGGGGGGTTGAAGTGGACATTGAGAACGAACCGATCCTGCTTCCTTGCCATGAGCAGCCGGCGGTTATCTACCCCCCACGTGTCGGCGGGACAAGGAGCTGCTGGATGGCCCCAGGCCCTGCAGAGCCATGTATGGCCATGGCCTGCAGGGAAGGGAAGATAAGGATGCTGTGTGAGCAACAATGTGTGTTTCTGTTAAATTTAGAGTAGTTATCAGACGCAGCTCTCTGTCCTGGACACACTCTGTTGTTCTGCAGCTGCTGCATCAGGAGCCAAGGTGAGTACACCCAGGGGAACAAAAGGGGTCCCACAGGGCACACAAATGCATGAAACAGGTTTACATTCAGTGGTAAATGCAGTCATTTGATGCAGGAGACATCTTATAGCTGCTGGAGATGTTGGGGTCTGACTGGGATTTCTGCAGCACATGATCAAAATGTGACTCACTGGCTGAATCGAAGCTTCTGATTGTTGGGTCATCACATTCCCTCCGCTGATTATTTAATTTCTGAAAAAAAATCAGAGATCATTAAAGTAAATCTTCCGAACGCCACAGAAGTTGATTGGATGCTGCTGTGATCTGGCTGGGGTGAGGTGGTTTCTACTGGAGCTTTAGCTGTAATGTTGGTGAGATGTTCAGCAGATGAGCCTGAGATGAGAAGCTTTAATAAAGAGTGCTGTGATAATGATGCAGATTTCCTCAGATCTGATTTTTAGAAGTAAACAGAAGGATCATCATGTGATTAATAAGGTTCATCTACACTGACCCCTGCTGGTTTGAGCTGGACCTCTGCAGGCTGCTGGAGCAGATTTCAGAGTCAGGTTGATTCGGATTGAATCCAACAATTGTTCAGGAGGAGGACTTCAGAGAGTGGAGCCTCCAACATCCAAACACTACGTACTCACACTGACTTTAGGCAGAAGACGTCACCACATAAACCTCCTTATATGAATCCTTTTACTGTGGAGGAACATCTGAACCCAGATGATGGAGCTCCTCTGTCCAGCAGCACTCAGCCAGCCTAGAGCAAAGGAATGTTTTGCCTGATTGCATCCAGGACCTGATTCTCTCCATCCTGACCCATAAAGCATAGATGAAGCAGTGAAACCACAGCTCTGATGCTCTGCTTAGCTCTTTCCTCACCACCACAGCCTGGAGCAGCTCCTTTAGAAGGTCTTCTGATCCAGCAACTAAACTGAACCACATAAATATATTCAACCTTATCTGATAAATCATATTTAATCATCACATGACCAACCTCTCCTGGTTGTGCTCTGAGATGGATTCATTTTGGAGATATTTGAAATTCTGGTGCCCAAAAACTAAATAAATCAATATTTGATTAATGAATTGATAAATAAATATCAGAAGGACGGTTCTATGGAAGGTTTTGGGTTTAAAGAGGAGGAGGAGAAAGAGGAGGAGGAGGTTGGATGCCCGATCAGAGCAGTGAGGAG